CAGAGAGAGTCAGAGAGAGTCAGAGAGAGACAAAGAGAGACAGAGAGAGACAGAGAGAGTCAGAGAGAGACAAAGAGAGACAGAGAGAGACAGAGAGAGTCAGAGAAACAGAGAGAGACAGAGAGAACAAGCCAGGATCATTTTCTGTGTTATTCTAGAATGTAAGGACACTTTAGTACATATTCAGTGAAATCAAAACTAACAGCAATAGGCCACCCATTAGAGAAGTGGCTAGATGTTGGGAATGTGGGGAACTTAGACAAGTTAGTAGTGATGTATTTGTCTATCTTAGAAAATCTGCCTGGCATGCAGGATGCCACCTGTAAGCTCAGCACTCAGGATGCTGAGGCAGGAGGATTGCTACAGTTTCAAGGGACTAAATAGCCAGCCCTAGGTTAATCAAAGTAAGATCCTGTCTCAAAAAAAAATTAAAAATGAAAGCACACACACACACACACAATCTATACTCCCTTAATAAGGAAAAGATTCTTATTTAAGGGCCTCAGACCTGCAGAAAATAAGAGGTACAATGGTGTTTAACGTCTCCTTGGTATCTGAGCATGTACCAGATAACAGTTAATGGTTATGGTGCTTAACCTCAATCCAGACAATAATTGTACCACGTAGGTCTCATTGCTCCCCTGGGGCTGTTGCTGGGACTTCCGACTGAGCCGAGAGGGTTAAAGTGTCTGCAAAGGGTAAATAAGCTAGCGAGTGGGAAGCTGGGATTTAAACATTGGTATTTGTTTCCTGTGTTCCATTATCTTGGAGCTGGCTGGCTTTTCTTTATCCTGAAACGTTCCATTCCCATCAAAGCAGATCTGATTCTCCACTCTCGCTAGTGCAAACCAAGGCAGGATGGGCCAGGAGATGGTTCAGTTTGTAAAGAGCTTGGGAGGGAGACACGAAAACCTGAGTTCCATCTCTACTACCCACATGACAAAACGCCTGGCATGGTGGCCCACGGTGTTCTAATGAAGTAGAGATAGGATGATCCTTGGAGCTTGCTGGCCAGCACGTCCGGCTGCCTTGGCAAGCTCCAAGTTGAATGAGATGCACTATCTCAAAAACTAAAGAAGAGGGCTGGAGTTGTTGAGAGCACTTGTTGCTCTTGTTGTGGATTCTTGTTAGAATCCCAGGGAGATAACATGTAACTGGTAGCAACTGTCTGTAACCCCAGGCTCAGGGGGTCTGAAGCCCTCTTACTATATTTGAGACATACATGATACACCTATATAGATGTAAGCAGGGTACACATACATATGTGTAAGCAGAACACACAAACAAATAAATCTTTTTTTAAGAATAAGGTGGAGAGTGGTCAATGATGATGCTCACTGTCAGCCTATGGCCTGTACCCGGGTACATGCGTGTCCACACAATGAGGCACAAGTTAGGACCTTGAAATCTCTACTTACAGAACTAGATAAAATTCCCAAATATCAAATTTAATATTTAAAGTTGTAGGGTTTTTTTAATCAGATATTTAGCTTACACAGATTATATGGCCTGTGGACTCCATTACATGATCCCAGGAACATTTGTGTCACTTTCTTTGTGAGCTTTGGTGCAATTATTAGTAGACATTATAATATATTATTGTCTTGCAATGGTTTGCAGATGGTTAGCTGGGTGAAGGGTGTGTCTGAGTCTAGTACAGGTATCATCCCAGCCTGAGCATTCAATGTTCTGCATGGGGAGTGGGTTCTCTCAGATCACCAAAGGAACACACAGCTTCCCTTTTCTGGCAGTGTATGGACTCTATTGTTTCCTCAGCCTCTCAAATAGAAGGAGCCAAACTGGTTGCTCGGGTGTTACATTTGTGTGCAAACAACTCTGTTTTAAAGTGAATTCTGGGTTGTCTTCATGAAAATGCACCCACCCCACCCCAGCCCCCAAAAAGGAAAAGAGAAAAAATTGCCATGGGTGAGGCAGTGCCTGGTACACACCATTGATCCTAGCACTCAGGAGGCAGAGGCAGATGGATCTCTGAGTTTGAGGCCAGCCTGGTCTACAGAGTGAGTTCTAGGACAGCCAGAGCTTCACAAAGAAGCCCTGTCTTGAAAAACAAACAAACAAAAAAGTACCCACCATGCATGTAAGAGTGGCAGGTATGCTCTTAGGAACAAAGGCTTGGGGAATGGCTTGCTCAGCTGGTAGAGCGCTTAGCTAAACAAGACGAAGAGGCTGAGTTTGATCCCCAGAAACCAGCTTTAAAGAAAAGCTGAGAGTACAGCATGCACATGTGATCCCAGTGCTGCAGAGGTGAGAATGGATGGACCCCCAAGCCATCCAGTCTAGCCTAGAAGTCTTCATGCCTCAAAATGGGAAGACACTTAAGGCTGACCTCTGGCCTCATTGTATACACACCCAAACATATGAACATATATACTCACATGCACTTTCTGATTAAAGCTACTTGCTGTGAAATAGAGAAGTGTCATTTACAATAGCCTTTCACCTTTATTCAATATATGAACTGGCTTGAAAGGTGATGGCACATATACGTGTGAACATTCTCCAATATTACAACATAAATTATGAAAACTATTTGGAAATAGTGTAAAATACAAGTGATAGGCAAAGCAACCCCACCAAACTACAACATGCACTGTTAAATATGCTGCTATTTCAACTACATAAAGTACATGTAGCTAAAGAATAGAAACTTGTTTGTAAAATGAAAACTAACAATCATGTTAACGCATTATAATAGTTACTATTTTCTCATGCTATTTCAAAACAACAACAAGTCTCAGATTTAGTTACATAAGCAAAGGACAGAAAAATATAACTGTGTTGAATGCCCACCTAGAGGTTATTATGGTTTACTCTAGAGATGACTCTATCTTTAAAAATTTAGTAAAAGATTACAAAGATTTATTAATCATTGCTGGATTAAAAACAAAATGTTCATTTGTTCCCATTTGCCTGACTCAGACTCTCATCATCTCTGAACGTTAGGGCCTCCTTACAGGTCCAGGCTGGCTTCTCTCCTCCTCTTCAGTGGCCATTGCTGCGACTTGCCCCTCATCTCCAACCTGCTGCCTTGGGAGTCTTTCTGTGCTGAGTACTTAGCATGTGGGATTGTTCCTGGGTGCTCAGGGGGCTTAGTGTGGCATGCTGCCAAGAACTGCAGGGGGTGCTGCCCCTGCTCATCCCATGGTTTCTACCCATGCTAGGAACTCAGTACATGGCTCAGATCAACGAGCAGATGTACAAAACCAAATCCGATGGCCTGCCCCTACTCTACTTGCTTTAAGGTTATATGTATGATTTATCACTACACAGAAGCTGATTGAGATCATGTCTGTTTCAGATGTAAATTGGAGTCTGAAATAAGATCTTGTCTCAATGAGGAGAGCATTGGAAATGAGTGTTTTTCTGAGCTTATGGATTTTGGTGAGTTTTTTTTTGAAGCTCCATATAAAGGGGAACTTTATTTGGAACTATGAAAGTTGCCCCCAACCCCCTTTCCCCCTCATACTCTTCTTGTAGTAACAGCTGTCTGTTTTTATTTTCTAAAGAAATATTAAAAAGTATAAACTAACAGTCTGTTCTTTAGCTAAAATAATAATGTCTCCGTGATTCGATTTCATGTCACACAGAGAAGGAGCTGTCAGAACAATGGTGTGCATACCTTACAGCTGTGATCGACCCTATTCGTCAGCTGAGAAGAGGCCTGAAGAAACAGCACCACACTTCCCAGAATGCACCCTGCCATAAGGGCTCAGATTCAACTACAGTTCTGGAAGAGGTCAGTATGTTGTCTTTTAAAAGCATAATGTTGGGCTGGAGAGATGGCTCAGCAGTTAAGAGCACTTGTTGCTCTTTCAGAGGATCCGGGTTCTATTCCCAGCACCCACCCCCACAGCAGTTCATAACTCCCTGTAACTCCAAAATCTGATGCCCTCACACAGACATACAGGCAGGCAAAACACCAATGCACATAGAACAAAATAAAACATGATGTGATATTTCATTTTTGTCTGAAATAGAACAGTTGAAACAAACACCTGCCCTGTGAGGTTAAGTAGAGGGCGCCTCAATTTCAACATTTCGACTATGTCTAGGAACCCTCATTTTAACTCACCTTCCTGCCTTCATCCTTGCCCCTCCTCCTAGCACATTTTCAGATCTTGGCCCAAGATATGGAGATCAAGTTGGCTGATTACTTAATTTCCCCACAGGCTCTTCCTAGTCCAGTAAGCCCACCCACAACCTTCTCCACTGAGTCTTCTTCAATCACATCTCTTGTATGACACTGTCCCATATCATTATGAGGTTGGTCCTATATGTGCCTTTTGAGTGTCAAACCTACTCCTGTCTCAAAGCTCTTAGGCCAGCTCTTTTCTCTGTCAGGCTGATGGCCCCATCTGCGCTTTAGTTCTTTGCTGACCAGAGAAGTCTGAGTTATTCCTAACTGACCATCCTGGGTTCACACCTCTTTCCTCCTCTGCATGCCTTCGTGTGTCCTGGTGTTGGCTAGTTTGTTATGCTAGGTGTAGGGTCTGAACTTTCATCCCTCTACCTGTCAGCTATTCTATAATGCTATACTTCTTTCATGGATAATAAAAAGCTTTAGCTCTGTCTACCTGTAGACTAGTAGCAACGAAGGCATGATTGAAATCTTACCATCAATAATTCCAAACTGAGAACAGGGCTTTCTGGGACCATTATGCTGTGAGTCCTGGTTTGGTATAAGGTCTGCACTCCTCACCAAGGCTTGCTTGTGTTATGAGCCTTGGCCGTCTGGCTGCTCTTTTCTTCACAGATCTAGAGGATTTTTCTATCCTCTAATTTTTCACCCCCTACTGGTTTCTGAGACTGTGTCTTTCAATAGAAGTAATCTTGGGTGAGTTGCAGTCATTTACATGCTTCCTGTCCACATGCTCCGTCCTCTAGGTTGACTTTGTCAAGGAACAATCCAAGGCTGCCTTTGAAAGACTTCATCAGGAGCAACAGCACTTAGAAAAAGATCTTTCAGACTGGAGTGTGAAGGTACGTGTGATGTAACTGCTGATTTGACTTGGTCACCCACATTGTGTTTTTGTTAAATGGTTAAATAAAATAACCATTTCTTTAGTTACTAGGTCACTCTTCGGAAGAAAAGTCTAACCTGCTCAGTGAACAGCCCATGGAGTTAGAAACATTGGACTGCCCATACCCTGATCTGAAATCGTCAATTCTTAATGAGTTCTGTAACTTTACAGAGCAATATCAAGAGAAACTTGAAGATTTTGATCTGCAATTGGAAGACATACGCAGGTAATCAAATATAACTCCTTGACTCCCGAAGGACTGTGTTCGGATTTGTATTAAGGGTCACTAGACTTCTGATTTTACTGTCTTCTAGTTACTTGCGATTGCAATATAGTCAATATAATTTTGGCCTAGGTTGTTGAATAAAAAGAATGGGTCTTATTTTGCTTTATTATCTTATTTTATTATGGTGCTGTGGATCTAACCCAGGGCCACATGTATATGCTTGGTAAGTTCTCTAACAGCAAGAATCCTCTGGCTATCGGTTTTTGAGGCAGGGTTTCACTCTGTACCATGTGCTGGCTTGACAGTGGCTTGCAGAGTCCTCTGGTCTCAGACCTGCGGTCTCTTTCCTTAGTCTTCCAAGTGCTGGAGTTACAGACATGCACCATATACCCAACTGCAAAGAATGTTGTATGTTTACTTTGCTTTTTCTTGCTTTCAAAATATTTCCTTGATACCAAGGGTTGTAAAAGTTTTATTGGGCCTAGTGTGTTGATGCACACTTTTAATCCAAGCCCTGGGAAGGCAGAGGCAGGTGGATCTCTGTTATGGCAAAACAGAAGGTTCATAAATCATAGCAGCAGTCTGCATATTACCCACAATGCTTTTAGTATAAATGATGATGTGTTTTATTTGGTGACTATTTGTTGAAAAATCCCCTCTAGACAGTGGTCTCTGTTAAGCTTCTTTTAAGGGGGGTCTAGATTAGTCTAGAAGATGGCTTAGTCTCTTAGCGAACTAGCAGTATGAGGGTGAAAGAAATGTATATATGTGCCCTAAGCAAATATGACTTACGTGCAGACATTAACTGAAGAAAAGAGGAACATGCTCACATTGAATTAGAAGGTAAAGTCCAATGTGTTTTCAGGGGTGGTGTTTTGGAGGAGGGAAGATAACTTGAATTTAGAGGTGGTTTGCAGTGGTTATCTGCAGCTATGAGCACAAAGGCATATAAATACACTCTCTAATTAGCAGAGTGAATGACATAATTATAATACCAACTGAACTTCCAATTTATCAGGCTCTCAATTTACTATACTATGACTATTTTCCTTTTTTTCATAATTGGGTCTTAGAGAATTCTCATGGTCTTAATATACGTGTATGTGTGGGAGTGTACACGTTATTTATTTGTTCTTTTAGTTTAGTTTAGTTTTGATGGTTTGAATCAGGGTTTCTCTATGTAGTTCTGGCTCTCCTGGGACTCCCTATGTAGACCAGGCTGGCCTTGAACTCACAGAGATCTATCTGCTCTGACTACCAATTAAAGTGATTAAAGGTGATTAAAGTCCTCTGCTACAATGCCTGGCTGAAGATGTACATACTTTACAAGGACGATTTGTCCATATTATCATCTTAAGCCAATGTGACTTGAGTTTCTAAAATGAGGCAATTAAAAACTCTCCTAATTTGATACAATCATCACCCAAATTCCATGCTTTATATTACTTATTGCACAATATTCCTCAACCCTTTGTAATTACTTGTTTTTTTAACTTTACTTAATTGTTATGTAATAATTTATCTTTATACGGAAGCTTGTTGCAAACTATTCGGCCACAAAATAAATCCCCTTCATCACAATGTATACATCACAATATATATGTACCTGTATATATGTACACAGGGTACACATTTTACTAGTTATTTGTTGCAGCAATGAAAGGCTGAGCAAAAACCGTAAAAGGACCGACTAGGTTTGTAGATTATGTCCATAGAAGTTATTTTATAGGTGAAAAGGAGAAAAATGTACATTTACAAAATGAACAATATTGAGGCATTACTATGAGTGGAGAACCAAGAGAGCAGAATACAGCTCACCTTGTGTGTAGCAGAGAGGAGCGAGCTTCAGCACAGTCACTAACAGATTTGTCTTTGAGTGTCTGAAGCAATGTACAGAACTCAATAGCATTCACTGGCTCTGGGGAGGGAGAGTTCATGTAAGATCGCAGAGACTCACCATCACACTTGGCTAAGACAAATAATTTTTTGAAGAGGGAAAAATATACCAAAGGTAAAAAAAAAAACAAACAAAAATGTTGGCAACACGTGAGATGAAAGATATTAAAATACCTAATATATAAGGATATTTTGCAAATTAATTGAATAATAAGCAGCAAAGTAGAAAACAAAAAAAGGAGATGAAGAAGGAAATTATTTCCTTTTTCTGCTAATATTTACTTAGTGTTTACAAGCATAAATCAGACAAAATTCTCAGTACGTTTTCTTAGTTAGTATTCTATTGCTGGAATGATTCACCATGCCCACAGCAACTCTTATAAAGAAAAACAATTAACTGGGGCTGGCTTATAGTTCAGAGGTTTAGTCCATTATTGTCAGGCAGGAAGCATGATGACATGTAGGCAGGGATGCAGGCTAGAGAGGTAGCTGAGAGTTCTACATCTGGATCAGCTGGCAGCACAAAAGAGAGAGCCAGTGGGCATGGCTTATGCTTCTGAAAACTTAAATCCCCCTCCCAGTGACACACTTGCTCCAGCAAGAGCACACCCATTCCAACAATGCCATACCTCTTAATCCCTGTCAAATAGCACTACTCCCTAATGGCCAAACATTCATATATGAACATATGAGGGCTATTCCTATTCAAATCACCACATCTGTGATCAAGTTGATAACACACAGAAGTGTGGTTTACAAGGCAATTGTGATCCACAGTATTAGAAGCTGGTAAGTCCTACAAAGGCGTAGGTTAGAGTCAGAGAACATACTGGGATTTTAGAATGCAGATTGCAATTCTGAAAAACCAAACCAAAACAAACCAAACCAAACCAAACCAAAACAAAACAAAACACCTTGGGGCTAGGTTTCAGTTGGGCAATGACTTGATGAGAAGCCATGAAGTGGGTTGAGAGATCTGGTCATGCAGACACTGGGCCATGTTCCTTGAGATGTATGAGTGTGCCTAACAAGGGTCCAGTGTCCGGGAACCCAGGGATAGATCAGCAGAATACTTGGATGAGGTTCAACAGGTAAGAGTGAATAGTAAGCTATTATTTGTGTTGAGTGTGTGTGTGTGTGTACCTCTGTGCATACGTGTGTATGTAGCAGGGAATTGAACTCAAGGACTCATGCATGCTCCATCAGTGATATACCATTGAACTCCATCCTCACTCAAGAAGTAGGATAGAGATATTTTTTAACCTCATCTTTTACATAAGTGACCTTGAACTTCTTAGACCAGTGGTTCTTAACCTTCCTGACACCATAATCCTTTAATACAGTTCCTAATATTGTGGTGACCCCAAGCATAAAATTATTTTTATTGCTACTTCATAACTGTAATTTTGCTACTGTTATGAATCATAATGTAAATATATGATCTACAGGATATCTGCTATGCAGGCCCCTGTGAAAGGGTCAGTCATTCAACAACCATAGGGTTTGCAACCTACTAGTTGAGAACCCCTGTCTTAGATTGTGTCAAGCGGAAGAAAGCAATGATAAGCCCTGGTTTATGTTCTGGCAGCATAGCTTTGGCAATTACTGTGCTTAATGATGGTGGGGGTGGGGCACAAGAAAAGATTGGACACACAGGAAGTTGTTAACCTGTCTCAAAACATAAGGTGAAGAAGTGATAGATACTCAACATTGACTCTGGTCTCCATGTGTGTGCACACACAGAGAATCTTTTATATTGGGGGAATAATATGTGTCTCTTCTGAAATAACATTAAAGAAAAAAATCATTAAAGTGAAGTAAGTATTTGACTTTAGTGCTGTTAGATATTCATTTTTCTCTTTGAATTGGTAGCAAAATCTTGAAGACTACCTGTGCTGGTTAGTGTATCATCCTACATATTAACTGATGACATGGTGGTGACCTTGATCAAGGTAGTGGGAAGTCTTGAGCTCTTGGACACCATTTGAGGGTAGAGCCAAGGCATCTGCTAGTAGAGTCACAAAAGTGAAAGCCGAGGGAACTGCAGCAGGAGTTGTCTGCTGCACCTGGTTTGTTTGGGTTGGGTATCTCAGAGAATGGGAGTGGGCAGGCTATCTAGTTGGAGGTGGGAAGTTTAGGTGTCCAGGCTTGGATATGCTGAATTTGGGGCAGCTATTTTGGGCTTTGTGAGTTCAGAATTCAGGAAGAAGATCTGGTCTAGAGTTTTACTTTGTGAGTCATTAACATGAGACTGGATATGGTGTCCAGAGCAATGATCCAGGAAAGAAAAGAGATCAAAACTCTAGCCCAGACATGTGAGCAAGACAGTGTCAGAGAAAAGAGGGAGAAGCAACAAAAGATAGACAGGTAGACAGATAGGTGATAAATAGACAAATAGATCAATAGATGATAATACATATAGGTAGATATAGATACCTATAGATACCTATAGATAGGTAGATAGTAGATGGGCAGATGATAGATAGAGAGAGACACAGAGAGAGGACAGATGAAGAAAAAGCAGCCTGTACTATTTGTAAAGGAGGGGTGAAGAACCATTGAATAGATGCGGAATATGCCAATGACTAGTAACTGTTTGGCTCTAAAGGGAGATATCGGGAGCCATTTTCATTATCAGAGAGGGTGTGAATGGCTAGTTGGAGTGGGTTTGAGTGAGTGGGTGGAGAAGGATAGAAGAGAATGAAAGTGGACAACTTGAGAAGTTGCCAAGGAAAGCAGCAGGGTCTCCTTTTGCTGTTGAGCTCCCCACTATCTTAGGTTTTAATTTTATTTAAAATAGGTATAATAGCAATGTATTTGATGCTCATGGGGATAACCTAGCAAGGAATAAACTTTAGGGGAGAGGGAAGGCAGGGAGGAAGGAGGGAGGGAAGAGCCAGACAGAGGGAGAGGGGGTGGGGGAGGTGGAGGTGGTGGGAGAGGAAGAAGGGGAGTGGGAGGAAGAGATACCTTCGGGGATTGAGGAGGCTTAGGATCAGCACGGGGCGATTCATGTATGTCAGAACTAAGGTGGGGCAGGTGATGCATAGCATGTGATTCACATGCTGGAGGCTGAGATGTCATGGTGGCCTGGAACTTCTCAG